TACTGAAAAGGAGTTTTTGGAGCAAGCTTCTAGTTGGGGGTCTAACTAATCACTCTGTTCATGGACAGAGACTAGTCTTTCACTTGCTATAGCGCGTTAGCTGCGATCTGAAAATAAAGAGCTATGTTGCAAGGAGACAGTTGGATGTTTTGGAAGCTTGAAGCAAAAAAGTGGGGAGCTTTGCTCCAGACAGTACCCATAATGGCTTGTTGTGTCATCTGAACCCCAGTAGTCAAGCCCAACATGGGCACAGGGAATTGGCTGAGGAGCACCATGGCAAGAGTGCCAGCTTCCCCCAAAGTGCTCAGACAGCCCTTGGCAGCAGCTAAAGCTGCTCAAAACCCCTTTTCACAGCTAAAACTCATTCATGCCTTAGTTTTTCTTGAGAGGTCCCCTTCCGACATCTGTCAAAAAAAATGAAAGGAGAAAATGTCATTGGAGACTCTTCTGGGCAATGCCTCTTGGCAGCAGGTGCCATCTGAGCTTCAGCCCCCACAGTTGAACAACAGTGGCAGTTCCTAGATGCAAAACTTCAGCTAGATATTTTTCAGGATTTTTAAAAAGCTAGACCAGCATGGGCATCCCCTCCAAAGTACCACTGGGACACTTTGAAAGGACTGCTGATAGCTGTTAGAACAGGGAGGAAGAAAGTCGTTTTGACAACCAGCATTCTCAGTCTCCAAGAAGAAGGGGGGAAAGGCCACGGCAAGCCCCAAATGGCTCATGAGCACAGTGAGGAAAGGGAAGAAAACTCCTTCCTCTTGAAGTGTCCCTTGGCATACCTAGGGGGGAAGAAGGGAGCTCGCCATCTGTTGGGCTCAGTCTGGGCTGTTCACGCAATAACAACCTACTGTGGTTTATTGCCAAGCTGGGTTCTCATGGGTGAACATGCCCAGTACCTTGTCTTTCCCCTCAGGCACCCTTGTCTTGCGTGAACAGCCTTGCTAAAATAGGAGAAACCACTTCCATTTCCTCTGCCTTGCCTCTTCTCAGTGTTTCCAATATGTGTTGCAAGGTTCTGAAATTAACTACAATACAGGTGTCTAATCACAACTGAATCATATTCTATGAGAGCATGTTTGAGAGCTTAAAGTAATAAGATTGCAATAAAAAGAGCTATTTAACAAGTAGTAAAGATGCAGATCAGATTTGCCAGAATATAAAATGAAGAGTGAATTTACTCTCTAACAGAATTGTAATCTTTGCATTTTCCAATTCTATGGCTCTGGCCATCTGTTGTAGTTACTCTTTCTCTCCCCATTTTTCACCCCTTCCCTACCACCTGTTCCCCACCCCACCTCCCTGCCTCAGGTGCAGTGCCGCAGTGCAGCCGGGGATCACTGGGTCAAAGCCCTGGGACATTCGCTTAGCAGGGACAGTGACACCCATAACCACCCACCTTCCCTGTAGCCTCTGAGCTTAGCTGCACTCTGTCTCTGAGCAGTGGTGAAGCAGCCCGTTCTGAAGCGGAGGTGCTCATCATGATGGTCCCTACAGCTGCAGCCCGGAACAGAGACAACACTGCAAGCCACTGTGTTGCTCTGTACCAACAAACCCGTAATAGCAGCTCTCATTTGCTAGCAGCAAGGACTTTGTAAAGCTTGTGCTCTCAGTCGCCCATTTGAGACCAAGCCGTTCCAAACCACCTTGCCTCACAACAGGGAACTATATATTATTTCATGGAGAATCCATTCTCCCAAGCTCCTGGGAGGAAACAGTAGCTGGGAGGGAGCTGGAGTCAAGCGACTCAGTCCCAAGCCTGACTCAAGTCATGTTAACCGCTCCACTCAGACTTATCTTGGGAGCAACAAGCAAATGACTTGCTCGAGATTTCTATTGTTTTTACAGCCAAGTCACTTTTTAGCATGAGGGAGGCAGGAAGGACAAGGGGATGGGGGCAGGAGGGGGCTTGTGATATAGCTAGTCCCTGAGCTACTTATGAATAACAAAAGCACAGACTGCCATAAACCCTGTAGGAATATCTCTACTGAAAAGCCATGAATATCTCTAAGGAAACCATGGGGTTTGGTGATATGTCATCAGCAGCTACATAGTTCCCTAGAGATATTCATGGCTTTTTGTGGAGATAGAGATTCCCTAGCGACGTCGGCTCGGGTGTACCCAGGCCAGTGTGTTTCAGTGCATGTGCAGGGTCTCAAGGACGAAGCAGAACCATGGCAAAGCAGAGCCCCCCAGGTGACTCCTCCGGTGTTGCTGCCATTTTCAAGCCTGGAATCCTGTTTGTATTCATGACTTCCTAAGCCATGGGGTAGCATTAAGCCTAAGGTCAACCATGGACCTGGTGGAGATGGACCTGGTGCTGGAGAGGCAGGCCCCTACTACAGATGGGGAAATGATGCTGAATGGACAGCAGAGAGAGAGGGAGAGACAGAACGTGTCCGAGCGGAATCTGGCAGGCTTGATCCCTCCAAAGTGGCCAACAGGCCTGCAAATATTTCCCAATTCTATAAAAAGAAAGAAAAAGAGAGAAAGAGAGAAAGTTCTGATTATTTTCTCTATTTTGTTTTAGGTTTGGTTTTGTTTGGAACTGTGGTATTTCATTATTCTTAGGGTTAATTGTAAATTAGGAGAGCAACTCAGAAATATATTCAGAAAATAAACAAACAAAAAGAACAAACAACATAAAGTACTTTAAAGTGCTAAAATGCTTCTTCTCCATGGTCTTGTTATAATCTATGCAAGAATGAGAGTGAGCTAGCTTAACTCTATAGGTCACTGATTTGAAAGAACATTCCAGACTGTGTTAAGAACTATTTCTTTTGTTTTTTACAATGCTGTATACCTACACATGCATACAGATTCTCTCTCTCTAGTACCTTTAGTTACTTTAACACTACTGTATTCTTCTCCCTAGTACAATGCTGTATAGTATTTCAGCATGCTTTAGTGAATATGGAAGTGTTTCTTAAGCGTTTTATATGCATAGAAAGGTAAATTAGATACACAGAGTAAGACAAGCGTTTGGCTTGCTCAAGGGAACCAAGTTGCATACCATTTCAACTTAGGGACGTTCTCAGGACCTTCTCGGGAGCTTGCCCGTAACCCAGGGACTACCTGTGCAGGGGAGGCTTCAGCTCTCTTTGGTGCACTTTTCTCTCCTGGGAAGGAAACACAACAGGACCTCTTCCACCTGCTGCCTCTGCTCTGTTCCCACGCGGTTCCAGGGGGAATCACAGTGCCAGGCTGGGGGCCAATCATGTCGAGAAAATTGTTTTGCTAAATTGCAATCTTGATAAATTCAAATGATAATTTAGCTTTGTTTAAATAAATCATGGTTGAAGTAAAGGACTTTGATGCATCACTGAGAGATGTCAGATGGGAACACTGGGGGGACTCCAACTCTCTCGGCTGTTCAAGTCTTCAAGTTGGCTCTTGAAACTTGAGAAGAGGCTTGACTCAATTTCTTGCAATGACCTGAGACTCGACTTGGACTTGAAAGTAAAGATTTGAGACATGACTTGGGACTTGGAGTAAAGACTTGCACACATCACTGGAGGGAACAGGAAATTCTTGGGGATGGAGGGTGAATTAAACCTAGCTGGTGCTGCAGGTCTTGGCCCCACTGCTGAGGGCAAATAGATTTTCTCAGCAGCAGTATCTTGTTGTGAGCTATCCCTGTTCTTATGCACGGTATTTTGAGGTGGGTGGTCTTGAGTTAAGATACAACAAAATATAATATAGCTGCTGAAAATGGCTGCTTCTCCTTGGAGGTGACTTTGGGCACTGTCCACTGGCATCTGTATTTCAAAATGTGCCAGTATACCATGGCTCAGGATAGGCACTTATACAGAAGAGGGAGATGGGCAGGATCTGGCAGTGTAGATGGCTAACCAGTAATGCCAGGACCTGTCCGACCACCCCTGTGAACAAGTCAGAAATTTGTTAGCACATTGATCTTCCCTTTGGGTCTGCTGTACCATTGTCTAGCACCTTAAGGAAAAGCTCAGGGTTTCTGAAGAGTATGTCTGAGAGGGAGGGAGGGAGGAGATGATCTCTGGTGCTTAAAGAAGCTGAAAGGCAGCCTATCCTTATACCCGGCAGATAAGCTGTACCTGGGGCATCGTTAGGGTGCACAGCCAAGCAGGTATACCGTTGAACTCTGCAGCAACGCTGAGAAGCTGGAATTTGGGGAAATAGTACCAGCTTAGACTCATTATGACAAATAGCCTTTTTAGACCATATACAAGTCCAAATATATATCCCAATTTTTCTGTTAAAAATATTTCCAAACCAAATTTTGAATTAAACATACTTTCTGTGTGTGACAGTGACAGTGTGGAGAGAAGGAACAGTGGTGAAAAGGGCAAAGGGGGAGTGTTGGGAAAGCCATTTTAGCTGACCAGAAAATGAATCCTGAATATTTTATGGAGATGTTTTTTTTTCCTCTCTAAATTCTTAAGCAGGCTGTATTTTTCTCACTGATTCATTCCCTTTCACTATCTCCTGTGCTCATCATTCTAATTTTATTCCTATTCTTTTTCCTGTCTGCATACACAATTAAAGTGCTTCTTTATATTAAATGGATTACACGCTCCATGCTATAAATACATGCAGAAATTAAGATTCTGTTGACTTGTTTAAGTGATAAGAAATCAGAGACACCAAATTTCCCTCTCAGTCCCAAGAGGAACAGTGCCTGTGATTGTGGCAGTGGGGCTCTCTTCGCTGTACATGCTCTTGCTTTTGTCTCTTTGCAAGTGCCGAGAGCAAAAGCAAGCCTGCGACAACGAGCTGGGGACACATTTTTGCTCAGTGGTGGTCTGCAGACTCCTTGTATTTGCGGGACCCTGTGCATTTATGAGGAGGGACCGATGGCATGTAGCTGAAGCTGGCAGCCCCCAGGTGGCTGTATAGCAGCTACACTGATGGAATTTGGGACTGGTTCTGGTAATGCGACTCACATCCCTTTTTTATTCTGGTTTTAGTGAAGAATATGAGACCGATTTACTGCTGAGAGGTGAAACTGTCCCCTCTAGATAATGGAGACTAGTACCTGGTAAGTCCGCCGCACTTTTTAAGAAAGCAGCACAAAAGCTAGTAAGGACAGGAGAGGACAGGCTGTGGCAATAAAGTGCCTGTCCGGAGCAGGTGTGGAGGCCCTTGCGGGCCACATTTTCTTCCAGCCATGAGGCTCCTCTCCAAAGGCAAAGGGAGCAGGAAAGTAGCAGTTGCTCCCCTGTCACCTCCCCACAAGGAGGAGGATGGGGAGGTGAAACTGGAGCCTTGGTGGGCCTTGCTCTACACAGCCCTTCCTTAGGCGGGGAAGGGTGGCTGGAGTGAAGCTGGCTGCTCAGTGAAGACCCCGGTTGAGGACTTCTCCTCTAGTCAGCACCTCCATCTGGGGGGAAGCTTCCCTCTGCCCAAGCACCCTCCAGCTGGGAAAACCCTGGTGGGCTGGCGCCCCTGGTCATACAGGACCATGGGGCAGTCCAGCTGCCAGTCTTTCTGGCACAGTTCTGCAACAGCAGAAGGAAAGGGAGCTTGATGTCTGCGCAGGAACTGCAATAGGCAAAAAGAACAGGGAGTACTCAGTGCTTTATGGATCACCATAATGCTAAGAGATTGTGCAGGCAGTGGAAGGGCATGAGTGAGTTAATCCCTTAGGACTAGAGCTGACCATGAACCACAGTTGAGGAAGCTGTGGGCAAGCCCTCTCCTTGCCTCTCTCCTCCTCCCATGAGGTGGCTTTGCACCGAGATCCTGGCTTGCATTGGGCCAGAGTTCCCCATTGCAACCCAACTGGGAGACTCTAGCTTAATGTTGGCTTATAAACTAGGATGATCCGCCAGGAACTTTTACCAAAGAGAGCCCACTATGGGAAGAGGACAGTGGCAAGGAAGGAACATGTGACCAACAAACCAGGTCTATGAAGCCACAGAGCAGATTCACACATCACAACAACCCAGCCTGCGAATAAGTTGAGCAGTGTGGATTGTACATAAAACAACCAATGGAGTGCCCAGGCTTACTGTAGGTTTCCCTTCAGTCCTCCCATGGGTGCTCCAGAGGAGTTCTCCATGGCAGGAGCACTGTGATCACAAGTCTTTTGGGGTTTGCTGGTGCCTTTGGTGGCTTTTATCACTTCCCCTGCCTATTTCTCCTTTCTTTTCTCAGAGATTGCTTCTTGCAAGTGCTGATTTGACAGCAACTGACAGCCCCTTCAAAGTACCCAAGTGCCAGAAAGGAGAGGGTGCCACTAGTTCATCATCATGCTTTTTAAAAAGATACAATGAATGAAAAAGATGCAGTACATTTGCCTAAACAAAATTCTCAAACAATTTAAAAATTACTTTTTAGTCAGACCTGTGCAAGTGTGTGTCAATCCTTTAACATAGGCCTGTCCAAAACAAACAAGCAAACAACCAAGGGAAAAATCCCTTTTAAAAGGGGTTGTCAAATGTTCCATGCTTCCATAAAAGGGGGTTTGCCCCTTTCCCCATGCTTCTATAATCTTGGGAAGGGGTGAAAAAGACACTGAGAAAGATCAGGCCCAGGAAAAACAAAGCCAAAAAAACAGTAGAGCATCTTGCCGCAAAGGTGATAATATACCTGCCACCTCCTTTCCAAGCAAAGGGCAGTCATTGCTTTGGTTTGACTTGACAGCTCACCTTTTGACAGCTGTCATGACTAAGCAAAGTGAAGAATAAACCTCTTAGCAAGCTGCTTTTGGTCTGTAACCAAAGGGGGTGCCTGCTGACTTTGCAGCAGACACCACACAGGGTATTGCTCAGGCAAGGCTTGCCACTTTGGACCCGTGCAAGTGGACATATGCACCCTCCTGCCAGTCCAACTCAACAAATGCTTGAAATATTTCTGCAAATTTTGAGCACAAGAATAAATTAAAAAGGGCGACAAAGTGGCAATGGTGTTTGGACACCAGTGGGCCTCTGGCATTGGAGGTGCCTCAGAGTAACCCAACAAGAGCAGTAAAGTAGACTTGTTGCTCTTGCCAAGTGGCTTGTTATTTAATTATCAGATTTATAGCCCACCTTTTTCTTACAAAGAACTCCAAGCGGCTTATATCATTCTCCTCCTGCTGCTCTCAATCTTATCCCCACAACAACAAATCTGAGAGTGGCTAAGAGTCATTTGTCATTTGGGCCAGTCATTTGGGCTGAGCGTCTGTGGCTGGCCCAGAGTCACCCATTTGGCTGAGCGGAGACTAGAGCCCAGATTGCCTGAGACCCACTCCCGTGCTCTTAACCGCTGCACCATACTGGCTACACCACTAGCCATTATGCATAACCCATGATGGCATCAGTTACCCAGGTTCAGATGGTATGATCGCCTGTTGTGGCTCTAACGACCCTTAGAAGAAGCCATGGGTTTGTGGGGCGGCTTGTTTCCCTCAGCCAAGCCTCCCTGAAGCCAGCTGTCTGGGTGTGCACAGCCACCTGCTCTGGCTCGCCGCCCCTGATGAGTTGTCATGTCATGTGGACCTAGTCACAGAGTAAGGTTTGAGTGCAGCCACTGGATCTCAAGCACTCAGAGCCTCCTTGAGGCCTGAAGAAAAGGACTGAATGGGGGATGTCCACAGGAATAGAAGTGATCATAATGGAGCCTCACTAGGAACACTGCAGAATGCCCCCCACACCGCCTTTTAGCCACAGCTGCAGCTGCAGCTGCTCCTACATGTAGCCATAATTGGAGGGTACTTCATGCTGTCTGAAGGAGAATGCTCAGCAGTTCCCTCTTCAGAGTCAGCCAAAGGCATTTTAGTGAAAAATCCTAACCGCACTTTCCTACAAACTAATATGGGGCCCCATCTAGTTGTCCTGTGCAAGTTTTGCTGAGTAAATAATCAGCCCACCATGGCTTATTCGTGGGGTTGCTCAGCATGACATGTGAATATGTCCCCTGGATGTACAGCCATATAGCACTGTGCGCATGCACGTGTGCCTGCTGCAGCGGAAAGGGAGCTGAAGATAGCCGAGTTCTGCCAAGTTCAGTTATATATTTTACTGTTCTATGTGATAAACTTGTTCTCTACATGTTCACTGCCCAGAAAGCCCTGCAGGGCTATAGGGCAGTATAAAAATATAATTAATTAATTAATTAATTAATTAATAAAGAGAACAGGTGCTGCGCAGGTGTCGTAGGGTGCCCGTGAATTGCTCTCGTGTGCTCCACCTGGCCTTTATGAAGAAGTTCCTTGTGGACGTTGCCCTGTGGGTCAGATCTCCCTCAGGGAGAGCCCAGGCCCAGCACCTGATGCAGAGCCTTCTTCCCCCACAAAGGGGGCCCTGCAGGTCAGTAACACATGTCTCTCTTTCTCCCCCTCAGCAATGTGATGCTCCCCCTTGTTTCCTGCTTCCGTTTGCTGCAGCTCTGGCCATTCCTACTTCTGGCCTCAGCAGTTCCATCACACAGCGCCTGGTCTCTTCGTACCCGGGGTCTCCTGGCAGCACGGCCTCTCTGCAGCCACCGCAGCCCCTCCGCCGCCAGATCCGTTTGCGTCTGGAACAAGAATCTACCCCCAGAAAAAGGATCCCACTCCACCTCACCGCGCCAGCCGTCCCTCATTCCCAAGGGAGCTGGCCTGCGCAGTGCAGCGCGACTGAGGCGCCAGGCCCAGGGCGCCCGGCCGGCCACCCCGTCTGGCTTCGAAGATGGCCTCTCCTCCTCGCAGTACCCCTGGGCTATAGTCTGGGGCCCTACCATATCCGTTGAGGATGGAGGCGATGGCAACTCAGCCAACCCGGGTTTCCCGCCTCTGGGCTATACCTTTGTCTCATCAAGCGGCATGGCAACGGCGCAGCCTAACTCCCACTCGCTGCTGCACAACGAAGGGCTCAACCTGCGCCAGACCCCGGCCACGCTACGGCCCTTCCTCTTTGGGCCTCGAGGAGAAGGTACCTCTCCCATAATCCTTTGGAAGGGGAAGGGCCCCCGTGTACCTTACCATGCTGAGTGATCCAGGGTGCTTCCTGTTGGACAGGCCCTAGCACTAGCAGTCAGAAAATGCCGCACGGTTACTCCATCTTACCTTACGTGGCAGATTTCCTGGGTTAAAAAAAAAGATGGAAGAAGCAGCGGGTAAACACGGGAGGGTTACAAGCAGACATCATTGTCCTCTAGATTCTCCATAAATTCTGTGAATGAGGCAGCGCTATTGCACAATAAAAGTTTCATCAAGCTTTTCAGAACACTGAAGCTGCACCCTACCTGTTGGACTTCTGCTTTGGTAAAGACATACCATATCTCAGGCCAAAAAAAAAAAGGAAGGAATTTGGTGATGCTAAGGGATGTTATGGGTTGTCTTGCTCACCGTTCTCATTGACTCTCTCTGTCTGTTCCAGGTGTAGACCCTCAGCTATATGTTACCATTACGATCTCTGTCATTATTGTCCTAGTTGCTATGGGGATAATACTAAAATTCTGGTGAGTAGATTTTAGGCTGATGTAATGTTGGGTGATTTTTTGTGTTTGAAACTGGGGGAAATACAACAGGATGCTGCTACAACAGCAGAGAAGATGCTGGAAGGAGAATATAATTGAAGATAATGAATCCTGGCGCTTTTAATTTTTTTGTTAAACTGTAAAAAGAAAATGAAGAAAAAGATAATTATTTTAGGTACATAGATTGCAATATCCATTTCAAAAGGAGCATATGAAAGATCCACACGACATACACAAGAGATACAGTTATACATAAACTTCAGCAAAGACAGACCAGACATCCATACATGTATCCATTAACAGGTAGCATCCAAATACCACCCACTCCAGTGTCGAAAGTGCCCAATACCTTAATAATTTACCTGTATTTCCCAGAAATTGTTCTGGAACCAGGAAGTGTATTTTGTGGTACAGAGTAACTGTGTCACAAGGGCTCAGCTCCATAAAAAAGCCAGTTCCTGCTGGTGACAAGATGGGGAACCTCTTTCAAGTCAAAGACCAAATTCAGGGGGAGCTTTCGGGGTCTGTGTCCTGGGCAGGGCCAGAGACAAAAACGGAGGGGCAAGAATTGGGGGAGAGCGGAGAGAGACAGCGTGTTGATTTCTTACTGCCAGTAACAGAAAATTTAATGTTTTAGAATGGAGAGAAAATGATCTCCCAATGATTCCTGGGGAGGGGCCATGTGGGAAGCCTGAAGGGCCAGATTGCAATGGCTTGTGCCCCTTGACTCTGCCTCTTTTTTATGACACCCCGAGGAGGACACAGGCATTCAGGACAGGAATGGGCAGGATGAAGGACAACTGGAGGTACGGCCAGACTAAACAGAAGTGCCATTAGCAGGTTGTTCATCTGCCTGGCTGAGTGATGTCTAACCTGTGCTGGAGGAGGTCACCTGACCCTCCAAAGGGTCAGGTTTGTAGTTTGGGGAATTCGCTTAGATCTAGCATTGTCCCTAGAGATATGGGTGGACTTGCTGGCATGGAGCGGCTTTTCGCAGTTTAGGCTGCATTCCCACTGCGTCCTTCTCTGGACAGAAATAGTCTAGCTCCAGTTATCCATTCTCTGAAAAGCTCTCATCTGAATTGCAGTGCATTGTATGTAGAGCGGCCTTTGAAACCAGTCCAGAAACTTCAGCTGGTCCAAAATAGGGCAGTGAGATTGTTAAATGGGACAGGCAAACATGCTCCTGTGATGGCTGTACTTTTCCACCTGCTCTGGCTGCCAGTCCATTAGATTATCTGAAGGCTCATCTGCTCCCATAAGCACTCACCAGGGCCCGAAGACCCCTCCAGCAGTCTTTCTCCAGGAGCACCGCCAGAGGATGCTGCTAAGAAGACCCACCGTGGCCTGCTCTACCCCTCTTTCTCCCTCAGTCCTGCAGCTGGTATCGTGGTGTCCTTCATGGCAGAGCCTTCCTACTACCCATTCTCTTCTGCCACTGCTTAAAAGAAAAATCAGAGATGCCAAAACGTGACATTCCAGTTGTACTTCTTTTGTTTCTTTATTTTTCAGCCCCCAAACATTGTGCATGAATCATCATCATCATCATCATCATCATCATCATCTTATTTATTTATTTATTTATTTATTTATTTATTTATTTAAACAAACAACTTATATGCCGCCCCATCGCATGAGCCTCGGGAAGGTTTACAATCATAAAATCATCAAATAATTAAAATACATAAAATAAAATAATGGACCCAGCCTGGTCAATTTAAAATAAACCATTAACAGTTAAAATAGCGTTTAAATCATATTGTTAGGCTTTCACAAGTGCGCTCTTAAACTGTCTGATAATGTGTCGTCGTGTTGCAGCGAAGCACCCTGGAAGCTGTCCCTCTTCAGTCTGCAGGCTGCCTCTCGTGTCCAGCCCCATCTCAGAAAGGGAGCCAAGCCGAACGGGAGCCTGCAAGTGCTTCAGGAGCCCACTTGTCCCACCAGCAGCAACCTTCTCCCACATCTGGTGCAGCGCAAGCAAAGGCTGCGAATCACATGTGCAGGAGAGGGATGCCGCTTGCGCAGTGATCACACAGGGCTTGGTTCCTGGCTAGTGCCACTTGGGTGCTTGGCACACCCCCCAAGAAATCAGACTCACCCCCCCCCCAAGAAAGTGACCCAGAATCCAGGAAGCTGAACCCAGGGAAACGGGTGGATTCCCACCCGCAAAGTGGATTTCTCACCCATTGCTAATGTGTAGTCTTGCCTGGTCCGTTTCCTTGTTCACTTCAGCTGTCAAAGGGAAAGGAGAAGTGGAACAGGCAACAGATGGACTGACAAGGTGAGGCTGCATAAAGAGTAATTTGCAGTAGCTGTCAGAGATCAGTTGCTGCGTTGTCAGCTAAAATCCACTGGAAAAGCAGGGAAAGCGGCAGAAGTAGGTGCATCAGAAGGGAAGGAGAGCTGTATCTCCCACATAGCCATGTCATCCCCTCAATATTAAGTGTTGAAGTGACACTTCACAGTGTCTCCCCCGAGTCGCTGGCTAGTCTAGAAAACGAGAGATCAACTCCTTTCCCGTGTACTTAACTACTACAATTACTGCAGTTCCCCAACTGGTCGAAAAATCCTGCCAATATATATGCAGAGTTAATGGCTGAAAAATAAATGATGGGGAAATTTGTGCACCTGCAGGAACTGCTCCTTTGCTGCAGGTGCACAAATTTACTGCGCTGCCCTTAAACTGGCACAAATTTCTTCACCATTTACTTTCCAACCATTAAATTTATATATCCCAGCCCAAAAAATTGCACAAATATTCTCAGCAGGTTTTGAAAAAATAAAAAAGCCCTAACAGGTGGCAGGGTAGGATGAAGCAAATGGGTCATCAGTACCAGTAATTCTCACACCCACTCCCTCCATGGGGACCCGTTCACTCCTTCCCATGCAGCCATCTTTTCAGACTTTATTTTATTCATTATTGTTGTTGTGCATTTGTTTGTTCAGAACTGCTAATTTCAGTACATATATTTGAGAGGATCACGTTGTGAAAGGCAACATATTTTGGTGGACCTACTTTTGCCACAACCCTTCTACCTTTTTTGATCATTTTCAATGGACCGTTCAACAACTGGTCTGCCAAAACTCTGACCCAATTATTGTATCTGTTGTCTCCACTCGACAGTTGCCATGTATGTTACCTGCTCCACTTTGCAGCTGAAACATACTGAAAGGAAGTTGACCAAGTAAGGCTTGAAATCCTGGGCAGCCGTATGAGCATCCTTGTCACAAATGATTCTAGGGACGGAAAAGGTGCGCATTTGCTGATGGTCTCTCTAAAGTGCCACTTGGCCGTTGGTGGAGAGACTGTCACTAGTGGGGGCAGGAAGGAGATCGCAAAGCGTGGCAGGGCTTTGCTGCTCTTGCTAAGCAGTTCCCTGCAACCCATGATGAACTTGGTCTCTTGCATTTAAACAACATGACAATCTTTTGGTGTGTCAATTAAAGTGGGGGGAGGCACAGGTAAATGTCCTACTGTCTCAGCAACTAGATCTAAAGCCTTCTTTAATTTCTTTGCTTCTTTGTCCTTGCATATGGAAAATAAATAATCTTTACAAAACAAGATCAAAACCTCAGGAACTCTTACCTGTTAAGATGCAAATACCTTGTTAAGTGATCCTTACTATAAACTGTTATTTATACAATACAGGAACCAAGAGGTGCCATGCAAGGATAGTCAAAGTTTCACACTCTTTGTAGCAACCAGGATGAAATTGTCCAGTGGCCCTGCAGCGTTCCATGCACCCCCTCCTGCCCACCCATCTTCTAGGCCTGGCACCAGTACCTGAGATTTCTAGTGCCTACCTCAGGAGTGAAGAACCTGATGCCCACAGATGGTGCTGGGCTACAGCTTCCTTCATTCCTGATCATGGGCCATGCTGGCTGGGTCTGATGGTGCTTGAAATCACAATGACGTGGAGGGCCACAGTTTTCAGCCCACATGGTGCAGTAAATAAGAATGTTTGACTGTGGCCAAGGCAATGCAGAATCAAGTTCCCCATTCAGCCACGAAGATCACTGCATGCATGGCCTTGAGGCTATCGCCATGTCTCAGTCTCCCTTACCTCTGAGGGTTCTTGTGAGGCTAAAACGGGGAGATGAAGCATGCATTCTGCCTCGAGCCCCTTGAAGGGGAGACAGGACGTAATTGTGATAGATGACTAGACAGGTGACTCTCTGGGGGGCATTTTATACAACAAAGACCTCTGTATTTTGATGAGTACCATGGCTTTGTTAACCCTTAACCAGCAGCAGGGATACAATATCTTGTCCCCATGAAATGAAATGAAATGAAATGAAATGAAATGAAATGGGGACAAGGGCTGCTTGGTGGTGAAAAGAGAGTGTTTCCCCTACTATCCCTGATGGTGAAGGGAAGCATGCAGCCTCCAAAGAATCAGAAATGAGTAGAGGAAAAAGGAAGAGGGGAAGCAATGAGGTGCCTTCAGCAGGGAAAGGAACCGTTTTGGCAATGTTACTGTTTGTTGATAAAGACTGAGAAAACACACCCATACTCCTCTTGTAGCAGAAGGAAACACTCCTTCTCTAAAATTTAAAACAGAAAATAAAAATGTTAAAGGTCATAAAATGGTACAGGCATAAGCTGCTATTAATAAAAGATATTAATTTACTCTCTATAGAAAATACATGATGTGTTGTACAATAAAACCAATACCAAAAAGGGAAAATAAAAGACTGTAGCAGCAATAATCCAAAACCATACGCCAGAGAAATCTCTCTACTAACAGCTTTCTTTTCATGAAATGGTCAGTGAAAAGGATAGTGTTTTGTAGGAAAGATCTCCATGAGCATGGACTTCCAAAGGAGCAAAGAAACTACCAGAATGTACCTTCTCCTGAACCTTTGTCCATCTAGTCTCTGGAAAGTGGGGCAACTTGAGTCCCACTGGCCTTGGAGATGCAGGCTCTTCTCCAGAGGTAGGAGATGGCAATTCAGCTTTAAAGGACTGAATGGGAATAAGGGCCACTCACCATACTGTTTGATTTTGTAGGTGCACTATTCAATAGTCGCCCATGACACTTCCACAACCAGATGTCCTGCAGCACGCACTATTACAAGAATTGCATGTGGGACAGTCTTTAGGCAGAGAAATAAAGTTCGTCATTGTTCTGCCTCCAAATGGAAGTCATGATCTCTGTCAACTGTACAGGTGGACATTTCCTTCTTTAAATGAAAATGGTTTTTCATGCTGGTAAAGCACAGTTGCCTTGTAGTAGGAAAAACTCCTGGAAAGGTGTTTGTTTATGTTGAAATAAGGAAGCAAGTAATGAATGCACAAGAGGTGATCCTCTGGAGAAGCAGCCCTTGTCTCTGGAGAAGCAACTCCTGGTAACCGTTTCCCCACCCTTTGCCCTCCCTGCAGCTGGGACCGGAACCAGAAGCGCCGTCACCACTCCAGCCAGCAAAGTGGATTGCAGCAGCAGGGTAGTCAGCAGCCCTTAACGGACCTGTCACCTGCCACTGTCAGCATCCTGGGGCCCTATGGTGATTCACAGGTTCCCACACCAGAGATGGTGGAAACTGGACAGGTACTGGAAGGCATGGAGAAGCTAGAGGGGTCAGGGAAGACCAGTGCTTTCCAGCTTAACAGGTAAATGATGCAAAAATGAAGCAATAAATGGGAGTGGCTTGGCTTGGCTTGGCTTAGCAGGAGGAGACGTGGACAAGGAAGGAGACGTGGACGTGCACAGTGGTATAGATGGGCTACTGGCCGCCTAGCCGAGCCTCGCTACAGGAACGTTGCAAGCCTGTTTGATTCAGCTGCACCTTAAATGCAGCTGCTGCTGTTGTCCATTTGATGTGTGCAGTCCCAATCGGTGAAGCTTTTCTTGCAGGAACATCACCTTTTCCCAGCACGAGATTCACTCTGTTTTTTGTAGCTGGGAAAGGTGGTTCATGATAACACAACTGTTATGGCCGCTATGTGAAAGAATTAAAAAAAATTCTCAGGACTGCCCCCTCCTGTGTAGAAAATGCCTCACTATTTCAGGAAACATCTCTCATTCTTTTTCCTTTCCGTATGTGTAGTTATTTGGTGGGTGTACAGTTCCCCAGCAGGAGCTCAGTGACGTCTTGATTTTTTTCTGTGGTAACACTAGTGATGAGTAACAACATTCCTTCCCCCACAATTGTGACTTTTAAAGTTTATTATTTTGGAGGTTTATATGGCTTTTCTACTTTCAGCAAAGAGAGCCTTTTACGAGAAGTTCACGGGATGCAAAGAGGAGTCCCAGTGACAAAGTGCAAAGGTGCTGAAGAAGTGAAGTGCATGTCTGAGTTAAGGCCCATGCAAGCTTAGCAAAAGAGCAAGGAAGCCAGGCAGATAGTTCTTTCTGGTCTTCCTCTAGTGAGTACCTGATTTTCCAGGTAAGCTCCGTAATAACTATAAAAGAAATTATTATTTAGGTAGAGGCCATGGAGCTCCCCAGCATGGGAGCTCCCCAGCTTGCTACGCCGAGTAGCACATGTATTCCTCCTTGTCTACTGCAAAGTCATGGGAATGTGCTCAGGGTAGTTTGTTTCTGACCTCAAGGAGCAAGTGTGCTCCCCAGAAGCCAAGGCTGCTGACCTAGAAAAACCAGGAAAGGAAAGTTTGTGGATGACCTGAGAGTGACATCTCAGTCCCTGGGTGGCAGCTTCTCAGAGATCATATGGAATGGAAATCTTGGGAAAGGAGGACAGTGTTTCAAGGAAAAGGGAGATGATCCCTTACCAGGAACACATTTCTCGGAGTGCAAACTCATGAGATGCTTGTGGGCATCCCATGTGGCTGCTGAACTGGGAAGGCCTTGGGCTTGATTCAGCACAGCTTTTCTTGCGTATTTTAAGGGCACAGCAAGGCTGCCAGCAAATTCTTTGGAGGACAAGTTGGCTAAGAGGTTCAGCCACTGAATGTGTGCTGCGCTTCAACCCCAAGTGGAAGTTCAGACATCGGCACAGCATCTATTAAAGTAATGACGGGGGGTGGGCATGGGGAGGTGGTTGTGGTGTCTGTGCCTGAGCCACGATGAGAGGGAAATGAACAACCTAAAATGATGCTAATGTAAAAGCAAACATGTCCTGAAATGGTGAGACATTGGTAAGGGGAAAGGACCGCCCTTGTCTTTGACACTTGAGGATCCCACGCCAAAATGACTCAGTAGGAAGCTTTGGGCCTTTAAAGCCTCAGAAACAATAATGAACTTTAAAAGTCATGGTCATGGAAGGGAGAATGTTGTTATTTGTTGCCGTTCCTACCATAGCAAGGCCCGAAAGGTGCCCGTGAGACCGGCACCCCCACATTCTGGTCGTAACAGCAGGAGCTGTGTTGCTTGGCTCAGTTGCAGCTTCTCGGATACTCAACTATATACATAGAGTCAATTGGTCCTCAGTGGTGGGTCAAGACCAGCTGTGCAGGGTTGTTCACCCTCAGATCCATGGGCCAAATCTCCACTCCCCCCCCCACCGGGGTCCTCATATGGCAATGCCCCTTTCTCCTGCCCCACTCTTCCCCTGGGAACTGGTCCTTTGGTGGCTTCCCAGCTCCTGTGTCGTTTTGCTCTTCTGAAAGCTTGAAATACCTCCCGCAAGGCTCAGTTGCTGGTAGTAAATGATTTAAGCAAAAATATGCTGATACTTCTGGTCCTGCCCCTTTTACCTTTCCCCTCGTCCGCCATCACGATACACCTCCCTCCGCAAGCTTTTCTCTGAGAGCAAAGCTATCATACAAAAATAGGGTTTTTAAAGAATAGCGCTCCAGGTGCATGTTGGGCTAAAGCGAGAACTTTTGATCTAGTATATCTGGTACTAAGAAAGGTGATGCTCCCTCAACAGAATGATCACTGTAGAAGGTACCTCAGCTCTATGTACCAAATGGACAGAAGCAGTGCCCAAAAAAAAGGACTGCAGGCCTTGGTCCTTTTAATCTGTGGATTAACCAACTAAGATTGCAGGTGTGCACACAGTTGACTTCAGTGGTGGTTAAGCAGCCTAATAGAATGGAGGCTCATTATCAATGAGGACAACATTTTAGCTAGTAAGATAATAAGCTAAAGTTGCACGTTGAGATTATTTTGGATATGAAAAGCCACCTTTCCCCACCCGGTATCCTCAGGATGTTTTGGACTTCAGTTCCCATTAGTCTCAGCCAGCATGGCCACTGCTGGGAGTTGTAATCCAGGCCATCTGGAAAGAACTGTAATGAAGGTGGGAAACCTCCTTCGCCAACATGTAGCTCCTTTGCTTGTTTGAATCTTTAGGATTTCCTGCCATCCATATCTCACAAAGGCCGTCCACATCAGCCTATTCAGGCGTTCCACTTGAGGCTGTGGTAATAAAATGGAGGCCCTGACCATCCATGGCATCACCCATTCTGTCCCTGCCCCTGACACGCTGGGGGGGGGGCTGTAAAGGAGAGCCTCCTCTGCATGCATAGCTGCCCCCATGAAGGGTTCCCTCTAAAATTGTCCTTCCCCAAACGTGTGGAGGAGAACAGAAGGTACCATTTCCCCTTGCCCTGTACAAGAGCACAGCTACATTGGGAATATCCCTCTTGAAGGGTTGATCCTATGAAAACCCATTTACATAGGGTTACTTCAAGAGCATTATCGATCAAGCACACTCAGTTCCTCTTAGAAGAATCAGTTGGAAAGCATTTTGGTGTAGTGAAGTGGCTTAGGGGCTGTGATCTCTTACAAAGGAAACAGGGAGCCTTTGGAGTGGCCTCAGAGCCATGTCTTCCATGACGAAACAGCCAGCAATTTCCCCTCGTCTCAAAATCTGGGAATGTTTTTCATTCCTGTCTCCCTTCTTCTCCTATCCCAATCCCATCATTGTTTCCTGCCCAGGATCCCGCTGGTGAATCTGTGAATGCACTGGATGGAGCAGGGCCTGGCTCCTTTGTCATGAGGCCAAATGCTGAGTCCCCAACGGAGTCCCGGAGAACTGGCGGCCTCTCCTTTAGCCCCATCATCCTGTGAGTTTGGTACGGCCACTCCTGACACAGCAGCAGAAGCATTGTGGATCCCTTTGTGTCACGACCTTCCATCTTCATCGCAGACCCAACCAAACGAAGGATGAGTTCAGGTGCTGCGTGACAGGCTGGGCTTCGCAGAGGGTCCTTGTGGCAGGGGCGGCTGGGGAGTCCTATGCAAGCAGAGGACTATGAGGCAGGGCAAGGACTATGGGCATCATCACACTTTAGAAATGTGTCCCTTACATCCCAACACACACAAATATCTATTTATTTGTTTGTTTGTTAGTTTGTAAGCATGCTTGATAGCCAGAGGCAGGATGCTCTGCATCTCCCCAACTCCAACCCTTTCTTCATTGGCTGGGTTCACACGTCACAACAAGCAACCCAGCATGGTTTCCACTGTGCATGGGGTTTTTGCTTGGATATGCCTGACAGATGACCAAGTAGTTTCTACACTAGGGTGGTTTCCACACTCCTCACTCAGTGTTCCCACTGTTGGCATGTATCTCATCAGCCACTACACCTGAATTTCAATGCCATGCTGGATGTCATGCCATGCTGGATGTTTGGAGCGGCTCCTGGAACTGCCACTCTTTCCGGGGAACTCTGTGGTAGCTACATACCAGGACTGTGGATGCTGGGTTTGGATGGCCAGAGAAGCCATGGTGAAGTGTGGAAATCATAGTGTCTTATCATGGTTTCTAAAAAACCAAATGTACCATGCTGGGTTTGGACAATGCAATGGACCATCCTGTGTCAGAAACCACCATGGTTTGTCGTGTTGTGGGAACCTGCTCATTGTTGGGCTTAAAAGTATCTTTCAAAGAGCCAGGCTCAGCATCACTTTTCCTAGGTGGTGAAGACCCTTGTGCATTGTGGACATTGGCATATGGAGAAGAAAAATACGATAGAGGAGAATTAGACATCCAGTGTTAATTAAAAAAACCTGTCACATCTCCCTTATCAGTCACCCAGTTTTCCTTGGTTGCTTCCAACATAACCTTTTTGTGGAATTTCCATTTTTTCACTCAGTTTTTATGAGGGATGGGAGATTAATAAAACCTAATTGCAGTACTGTCCTGGCTAGTAGGGTCAGGTAAATGGCAACTGAAGGTTTAAGAGTTCCTATGCCTCTAAGGGTTGCTAGCCAAAGGATCAGCTCTTCATTGGTTCCTGACAAGTGTGGCAGATGAGTGATAGGTAATCTATTAGTGGTCCTTGACTAGCCTTCTTAATTGGATCTATGTCAGTTTCAAAGGACAATTAATAGCTACTTATTACTAATCCCTCATGCAAGTTCATTGGTAAGCAATACAGGGGCTGAACATATAAGAAGGAAATGTTACACAACATTGCTGGTAACCTTTCCTGAACTTACTTACACATGCAAATTATGGGAGAATCTTGGTCATGGGGTGGGACAGTGCTGCATAGTAAGTACTATATGAAGCGCATGTGTGGAACCTCTTTTTAAATTCCACTTACAGCCAGTTGCTATAATTCTCCAATAGCATTAGCGAGCTATCATGTACAAGTAACCTACACCATCTTTTAATGCCTTCACCTGCATTTCCAAATGTACCACACACTCACTCATTTGCTCAGGTTATTCCGACGGAGCTACATTTCTCCCTCTTTCAGTCTCACACTCATCGCTGTTCTTCCATAGCATTGTTTTGCTCCTGTTCCCAGGTTTCCTCCATCTCATATACTAGGTGGCATTGCACAGCTGTTTCCTGTTTGAATTATTTTCGTTAAGCCTGGTTTGGTCTCTTAACGAAATGTCAATTAAATATATTTTATTGAGGTTTTAAAATAATAAGTATGCCTATAAGTCAATACAAAAGAAAAGTTTTTGCCAGTAATAGCAGGTAATACAACAGAGGGAGGCCACATTTTGACTCTGCAGATATATTTTGCAATGTGAGAATGGTCCCGTGCACCATTGCAAAATGTGAGCACTGCAGATGAAATCACATGCCTTCATCTCCTGAGGATGTCTCTGAGCCCCACCGTGTAGCCCAGAGGCACTCCTGAGGAAAGAAGATGAAAGCAGCTGGGGGCCCTCACTTTGCCCCAGGGATCCAAGCCGCAAGTAGGAAACATCATGTTTTTATGTTAAAAGTGGGATGAGTTAAGTTGCCTTGGCAGACAGCAAGAATGAGGTCCAAGGGTCCCTAGAGCCCACAGTCTAACCCTAACCCTTCCAGGGTTTTCTTAACTATTCATTTAGAACTGGTGTCATTCAAACTTATTTCTGACTTTTTTATATCACTAATTGTGGCAGTCTATCACAGTGGTCCAAAATCTAGGGAACATGCTGATTTCAGCTGGACATAATGTGATGAATCTTCTCTACATACATTTCTTCTATATTGGAGCACAGTCACGAATGGGTGTGCTACATACAGTGTCTTTTCCCTCCTATCAAGGAAGCGGCTAGCTGTTTTTCTTCTTCCAGTTACTGACAAGGGCTATCTTTTTCAAAGCCTCATTCATTTTTTGCACAGAGCCATCACCACTGTCCTGAGCCACAGACAGGTAGATCTGGAGCACTCTCCATCCCTTTAGGGCCTCTTGCCCAGGATATTAGATGACACCATAATGAGATACCCTGTGCAAGACCAGAGTCTGCTCATCTCTTTTCACTATGTTTTACCCTGCTCTTCTTCCCATGAACTCAGGGCAGTACAGATGTTTCTGCACCCCACTTTATCCTCACAGCTGTATCAGGTAGGTTAGCCTGAGAGGCTGTTTGCATGTCACAACAACCCATCAATTTAAAAACTGTTGTGCACAACTGGGAAAACGCAGAGCATAAGCACCTCTTGCACTTTTACTGCACAGTCAGTGATCAGCTCCTTCATAGTTTCTGGAGCATGACATCCAAGCCCGGACTGCTTAGTTGTTTAGAGAATAAACAACCCAGTTGTTAATCCAACAAGCCATGGGTTATCCACTGGGTTCTTTAGCCCCTGAACAGATACCATATTCCACACCCCATCAAGTAATGCAGTAAAAGCAGAAGAAGCGGGTGCACTGCGAGCGACATGCCTGTTGATCCATGCTAACTCTTGGGTGGTTGACTTGATTGGTTGTGATTATATGCAAACTCTGGTCTCTTGGGTCAAGTACGGACTTGCAACACAATAGTAAGCTCCTGTTTCATTGTGGCTGACCTCCTTGTAAGTGCATTGAGGGTTGCAGCCTTAGAGACACTGTGTGTTCAGAGCAGAACAGGGCCCCTGTACCATTTAAAGGAGGGAGCTTTGGGCAATTGCTCTTGAGAGAAGCTGAAATGCTCTCTATAATGACTTAAAAAGTATAGTTGGGCACAGTCTCTGTAAAACTCACATTAAGCATTCAGAATGCTTATACCCTGCCTTTCTGCTTTTTTCCAAAGATTTCAAGTAGTTTACAAGCAAATGTTCTAAAAGTCAAAATATAAAATACAATTTATAATAAAAGCTAAGGAAAACAACCTGTGGAAAAAAAGCTTATGGGAATAAAGCTGTTTTGTTCGGCATCCATAAGCTAAATGAATCAGTGTCATGTTGGAATATCTGAATAATGAAAGGAATAAGTACGCTCCCACCACCGAGAAGGCTGTATCCCTGACCCCCACCCATATTAAGCGATGAAGGTGGGCACCCACAGCACTGTACATAGAAATACAATATTCTTTAAAGCATGCAAGCTCATGACCTGTCAAGTCATAAACTCGCTTGGGGTGCGATTCAGTTCCCTGCATGCTTGATGCACCCACACCTACATGTGGGGAGGGTTACATGCGTGCAGTGCATGGTGCAAAATGTGCTGGCGGGGCTCTCCACGCCCCTGCTGCACCTCTTGCCCAGCATTTCCTCTAGACAGCCACTTCCAGCCTCCCAGGTGAGGCGCTGCAGTGGAAGGGAAGGAGGCTGGGGCACCGTTTGGATATGCTGTAAGCCATCGAGTCCAGCCCAGCCTCTTTCTTCCCCTTCCCCAGCACCTGGCAAAGCCCTTTTCCTGCTGGGTGGGGCTGGCTTCCCACCCTGGGGAGGGAGCCTGTAGGTTTGCATCTCCGTGGCTGTAAGGAGCGCTGGGGAGCCTCTGAATTTGCCTGCGCTCCCCCCAGGCCATGTTGGGAGGCTTCGGGATTCCGCCAGTGACGTGGTGTTTGTGCTGCTTTATTTATCTGATTTAATAATGCCTCTGTGATCTGTCAGGTGGGCTCGTCAGGTGTTCTGCTCTAGCTGTAGCTTATTCTGTGCACACTAAATGCCACCATTGCAGGCGATGACCAGGTTGCTAACTAGGCTCCTGTTCTGAGCAGACCTGCAGGGAACCATAGTCTCCCTCCTCTGTTAACCCTGCAGGATTATTAGTCGATGCTGTTTGATTTATTTATTAAATGTATTGACCATTTGGCTGTATCTGAAAAGGCATATAAAAGCCATATGTTAAAGTCTGTTGATTCCCTTCCCTTCTCCAGCACCTTAGCAAGCAGAAGGACATGATTCAGACAGTTTAATATTTTGAAGTCACAGTCATCTGAGGGAGCCACAGACAGGTGTACTCTTCCCCCATCCACTGGTCATTGCTAGGACCTGAGTAGCAGATGGCCTTGGCAAGGAGGATTGGTGGGCCCTGGAGAAAGCCATAGTAGCTGTTAAGTTCCTCTTGGTTGTGTGTGTGTGGATTGGGAAAGCGGGTGGGGGGGGGCAGGTGTTGCCTTTGATCCAACATTCAGGAGACCTCCCCTTTGGTCAGTGGCCCTGAGCAAGTGAATAAAGGGCTCGTCTCAACTAAGACTCCTCCTTCAGGTGCTGAAGTGTCAGCTGGTCAGGACCCCCCTGCCTGCCCTGCTCTTGAGCCAGGACTAGCCCTTTGATCTGCAGAGGTTAGTTGATTA